TCAAATCTACACAAAGTGAGGTAATTTTCTCCTTTTCAACCATATAATTAATGATAGATGTATATACCTGGTGTGAATCATGTGTTACATATTATCCATTTTAATCATTTAAGTAAAGATTAATCTCATCGAATCATGTGAGATCATAAATGTAAAAAAAATTAACAAATATTTAACTTTGTTATTCTTAAAATCTCGAATTAAATTAAACACTTTATATCAATTGGTTCAAGCGATTAGGACATATACGAATTCACAAATCGTTTATGTATACTCTATATTTGGAGTGTAATATTTAGTACAAAAAGTAATATTCTATTACTTGGTACCGTTAGATTTTTAAGGTATAATGTGAGTAATTGATGGTTAAAATTTTATGATAATAGACCCTCTCCACCTACCTTTGCCCTATTAACAAAAAAAATAATGACCAAATTACAGATCAAAATCAAAGTTAAGGGAAAGATACATTAACTCTAAGTTTAGATTTTATTTATAAACACTATCAAAATATAAATGATAAACAACTTTTAACGATCTCGCTACATAAAAAATGACCGTAAGATTTTCAAGGTCAAATCTGGGCCATTGGATCATTAAACCAATTTTAACGCTCTCGCTACATACAAAATTACCGGGGAATGGATTGTAAATGTTATCTCTTCCCTGAATTCTACAAGCTTTATCTACAGCGGGTAAATCGGTAAAAAGAAAATCGCCTGCACTCTGAAATTTTGCTATGTCCACTCCATTTCTTGAACTTTTTGCGTACTATCTGACGTACGAATTACGATATTCTCCATACGGAAAAGAGTGGAATGAGCAAAAGGTAGTAAGGTAACTAATCAAAACGAAAAGCAGGAAAACGGCGGCATGTCCCTACGTCAAAGTTCGAATAAGATTTTCACCATTATACCCCTGAGAACAACCACCGAAACATTTCGCTGATTTCCTCGCCGCTGCGATTGGCTTCCACGTCATAATCTCCGACTGAGCCGGCGAAATCGCTTCGGCGACTGCTCCCGGTGAAGAACCTGCCTGAACTACGAAAAGATAACGCACGAGACGATAAGGAAGAAGAGAGCCTATCAAGGTATTCCTTAAGCCAATTCCTTCTGGTAGCTACCTCGGCGGCGAGACTCGCTTCAGAAGCTGCCTCAGCACCGGCGACCTCTTCCTTATCGGACACGTTTCTTTGATGCGTTTGATTCCTGGTCACCTCTATTTCTTCCTCTATTATGTAATCAAATGAGCCGATGGAGTAAGACCTCCTTTGCTCACCCGATTCAGAGCCTGGTTGTCGTCGGAGACTTACGGAGCCGATCTCGATCTGGAAACTATCTCTGCGGCCGCTTCCGATCGGTTCAGCCTCATTAGACGACTGAAGCAGGACTTGATGAGGCCCGACTCGGAAGCAAACAAGGCGAGCGGCATAGAGGACAAGTCTGGTTTGAGCTAAGCCACGTATCAATGCAATGAGCGTGGAACGCGTGGCAACAAAGAGGGCAGCCCTCAGTTGATCATCCGGTTCAAACTTCGATAAACAAACTGCACAATCTCCGGTATTCGAATCGTTATTGGAGCGGCGAGTAATGGAAGAGAAAGTGAAAGAGGAAAGAATCAAGCAACAAATCCGTCGGCGATTGCTCCGGACTGACACGGTGGTGATGGTGGCTGGAGGCAGAGGCGATGATTGTAGAAGTCGACGAACGAGATAGGTGACGCAAGCAACGCCGATTCAGATGCCGCAAAAGAAGACAAAGAGAAACCGAAACAAGCAGCGTAATGGAAAGGATCAAAATTATTATTATAATACTCGACTTCGCACTTTCAATTGAAGAAGGCGAGGAATGCGACCGTTCACTTCCATTAATTTCTCCGGCGGGGATAAGTCCTCCGATTACGCCGTATAACGGAGGCGGCGGCGGCGACGACGACATCAACGCCATAGAAATGTATATGCTATGGAATGAGAGATATTTGAGAAGGAGAAGGTGGTTTTGTTGGGTTAATTTTGAGACATCATTTAATTGAAATAAAGTGCAAAGGAGGGAGGCAGTAAAATGGGGTGTCGCAGAAATTAAGACGCCGCGCAGAGCGAGTAACTCGACTCAAGCTCCACCAAATTAAACTGCTTCAACGAACCAACAGCTGGCCATTCAATATCGTAACTCTTTCGAATCTAAGTTATAGATTTAATTGAGTTTATTGCATGGGATATACCCAAATTATGAGTTTTCTTGCATTACTTTTGAAACTTTAAAATATTCTATACCAATTCTTAAATCACGACACATTTTAAATAATCTTTAAATTTTTAAAATTTCTTTAAAATTGAACTTTATAATATTCTGTTAACGCTCAATTAATTCTACTTATCTTTTAAGGTCTTTAATTTTACAAAAAAAAGTATAGGTTCAATTTTCAAAACCTTACAAAATGAAAGAATTAAAATGAAACTATATTGATAATTGAGGACCAATATAGAATATTATAAAGTTCAATTAAAATATACATATTGAACGAACCATTATTCCAAAACATTATTATAAACACAACGTGCTTTCGTTCGTGCATGTGTTATTAGGATTTGAAAATATTTGATGTTAATAAAACAATAATATGTTAACCTTAACTGGTATTGTATTTACGGAAGAAGAGTAAAGGTAAATTAATAAAAATCTTTAAATATAAAATTTCGACTTATATAATTTATATTGTGAGATTAAAATTATTATTATATCAGTCCATGTTATTGTTTAGTCTAATATCTAACATGTTTAAAACAATATTTTAACTGACTTATTAGACCATAATATACAGAGATGATTTTAGTTCACCTACAGCGGCGGGACTGGCCTTGCCGGATCTAACAAGTAACAACCATCTCTTTCGGCTAATGATATTTAACCAATAGTTGTTTTGTGCTTTAATTTCTTGTAAAGAAGGTAAATAGAAAATACGACAAGGAGATGGTGGAATGGAAGAAGAGGTACAACCGTACAACGGGTGTCGTGTAAGAGCAACAGGTTTTGCATCAGAAAACATTAAACTTTCTGGATCCACAAGCCCTGAATGCCACCCATCCTCATTAAGGCTCCCAGGGGTTTATTATTGCTCGACACCCAATGTTCGAACATTTAAAGCCCCAAAGAGAAAAGGGTTAAAATTAAGCCACCTCCTCAATCCCCTCGTTGCTTGCTTCCTTTGCACTCATGGAATGTCCTCTTGGAATCCCTCGTGTTTGGTCGAAAAGTATATCATATACTCTAGAGGTAAGGTAATGATTTTTCATCTTCTCTCTTATATTATAAGGCGATTATATCTCCATTCTTGTGACCTCTCTTCCTTAAACATCATAACATCCGTTATAAAAACTCTAATCATGATTCTCAAGTTCGACATAATTATCCGTTTTTATAATTCTTTATTCAAATTAAAAGAGAGAAATCATCTTTATGACTAGCGTTATCTATTAAACAACTTTAAATATAATATGAATCCTATGTACCTATTAGACAAAAGAAGATTTGTACGGATTTGGATTATTGTGCGGAATGGTAGATAGATTCGGACTTTGGACCAAACAATCAAGTTGATAAGGCAATGTGGGGATCAACTGTTCCTTTTTTATTAATATATAATGATTTGATTAATATATAAGCAATTTCTGGTTGTGGAATAATTTCTGTAAAGATGAGAGTCCATTTCTTTACATTTTATGATGCACGTATCCCTTTCTTCTTGTGCATGCATACCCTTTGTCATTTTATATATTTTTCCACCCACGTGTTCCTATCGACTATCATCGTCCAACATTTATTTAAATCTTTTGTCTCTGGGAATTTAAATCAACCGACCATGGATCATGGATGGAATATATACTTATATTATAGTTCAAGAGGATTGTTGGATATTAGAATATTATAATATAATCTACATTGACCTAAAATTACACTAAATTAGTTTTGGATTTTTGCAAATGTTATTGAGTTAATTACATAATAGGTCCCGAAATTATGGTCTCTAATTGTAAAATATTCTCTAAACTTCAAAATGTTCTACACTAATCCCCAAACTTTAACCCGTTCTAAATCAATCTCTAAAAATTTATACTTTAAAACATTCACTCCAATCCTTGAACTTTATTAATTTGAAAGAAAAAAAACAATGTTATCGAATATCATGAAAAATGAACCGGTGATCTAAAAACATAAGAAAATTTTAGGTCACATATTCAGTTCCAAACCTTCAAAAATTTATCAATTTCATTCATAAGAATTCAAAAAGCAAGTTATTTTTAAATCATTATAAGTAACAATACCATAACAAAATATAAAATAAATGATTTTGATAATTAAAAATTAATAGAAAACTTCTATAACACCAATTTAAATTAGAGCCATAATTAAGAATTAACACTCGATTATTTTTTAACCACGCTAATTCATTAAATTATCAATACCTAATAAATTTTAACCCCAAATTAAAAAATAATCTCTTTTACAATCAAATTAATCTAATTAATTTTTTTATTAATTCGGTTAATCGATTGAAATAATCAAACTTTGTTCTGTAGGTTAATATTTTCAAAAATAGTTTCGATTCGATTAATAGTTAAAGAAGAAATTCGATTAATGGTTAATTCGGTTCAGTCGGTGGCCAAATTAACCATTTTAAAACCCTAACATCAAACCTCGAAATTAAACACTTATGCATGTATATACACCAAACCCGAATGAACTTGGAATTTACAAAGATTATCTTTTTTCCGACAATAGGAGAAGATGGCGATAATAATTTGGAGCTAGCTTCACTTTCTCCGGTACACAATAATACAATTCATTTAAGAACTCAAAAGACAGAACATAAATAGTTCCTCTAAATTGTAACAATTGGATTCCCACCCAAGAAATTGTGTTCCTTCAAAATACACAAATTAAACCAAAACCAACACAAAGTTCATATAGGGAATTCACCTCCACACTGACACCACGATTTCACCATTTCAAAGCTAACCTCTCACATGGCGGCAAATGCCTTCTTCCCACCACAGATGACCCGGCTGGAATGACCTTAAGACATTGAACCTTACCGTCTTCAACAACGGCCTGCAAAGTTTATTGATAAATTAATATAGCGGTGGTGGTGGGGAGGTTGGGGCACAATGGAGACGATAAATAGCGAAGGATAAGATGAAATAAAACAATGAACCTGCATTGCCCAATTATAACATGATCTCCTTCTTTAACACGAAAGCATGGGATATATGTGCCGGGATATTAGAGTGGCGCTTCTCGTATTGCGCCGCCACGTTAGATGACATGCATGAGAGTTTTCATAATGTATTATAGTCTTTTGCGAATATATATACCAAGATATCTACCAAGTTAATGAAGCCGTAAAAAAATGATATCTTGCCTTTGGTATTTCTTGATGAAGTGAAGGTAGTTCCTTCGGACGAATGGTCCTCACCATTTTCGCACTATGACAAGTGCCATCAAGGATACGGCCTCTGATAGAAACAGTGCCTGTAAATGGGCATTTCTTATCAATATATGTTCCTGACCTACAATGGAACCTCCAACGTAAGTGTCCTCGACTCCAAAAATGTTACGGTTATCATATGGTTCTACAATGAGTGGTCGTGACAATTAAAGTAATTAGAGCAGTGTTATATTTCCAGACAAAGACATGCACTGTTTAAGGAAAAGCCAAATAAACAGAGACATGGTAACCAAATTGTATCATACGAATGATAGCCAAACTACAAATAGAAGTCCAAAGAAAGCATATCAAATAAAGGCTGAATGGGCAATTTGGGCCTAAACATTTGATGCCCTAAGTGAATAAAGACGAAACCTTTGAAAGTTCTCGATCAAGGACTGAACCTTTTCAAAGCTGCTGCAGCTGCAGCTGCTCAAACAAAGACTTCTGTGTGTCAAAATGGTCCACTAAGGACCAAACCTTAGTCAATTAAGGACAACTTTTGCAGCCCATAGAAGTCCTTAAATTGAGGAGGTTTGGAAACCTGATTCACTTCTCTGTGTGTCAAAATGTCCATTAAGCCCTTGTTAGTTTGAAATCAATAATATTAACCCTGGCCACCAACTTTTTCTGGTTTAATTAGCGATATCAAATTTGAAATTAGACAATTTAAAACCCTAGACCCATTTTTTATTTAAATACTTCTCAAATTTGAAGTTTAGCAATATGGAACCATGATTTAAACATTAATCCCAATTCCATCCCTATATAGTATATATCATTAAAAGCAACCTACCCTACAACAGCTTCCATCTAAAAGTAGTAAAATGGTAATGTGATCCCGAAATTTTAAAAACAAATTAAAAACCTAGTAACAACATAATATTTCGTTTTGGTATTCAAAGTCCTAGCACATAACAGATAGTTCCCATTTCAAATTATTCAGTGATAAATACAAGAAAGCATGCAAAAGACGAAGCTGTTTGTTTATTTCATAATGATTAAGCGCTGAATAATTCAAATGCTGAATGATTCAGAGACTCTGAATGATTTGGCTCTGAATGTGACATATTATTTGATAACTGACTCTGAATGATTTAAAATGTACTTGCTAAATCATTTAGTCAGCACTAAATCATTCAGAGATACGAAACAAACGCGCTGAATGGGAGACAAACACCGCTAAGTAAACTGAATTGCATAGTCATAACAATGAGAAGGAGAAGGAAGACAGAGAAGCAAAGCAAGCAAACCTTCAATTGCCTCTCTGGGCATCTTAAACCCTAACCCAATGCTTTTCCAGAACCGATTCCCGCCCTTCGCCGGCCTCTTTCCTTTCCCAGATTTCTTAGAACTGAGAGAAGAATGCTACAATCGTTAGACCGGTCTCGAAATGATAATTAGCAATGAGGAATAAATTTCACGAGAAGAAGCTAGGTTTACCTTAAGAAGACCTTTGGCTGTTTAAGGAAAGCCTTCTCCGTCTAATGTACAAAATGGACAAAAAAAAAAAGAAAGATATCAAAGCTGTATCAACGTATGAATATCATACAGAGGAAGGAAAGAGAGAGGGAAATGTAAACCTGCTCCGCCATGGCTGAGGAATGAGGGATTTACTCGTTACTGCGAAGACACAGCAAAACCCTAATAGCAAGCGGCAAGGCAGGTAAATGCAGCCGCCCTTTCCTTTATATATATAGGCTTTCGATTGTAAATTTCTGTTTTCTGCTTACGGGCTATTAATGGACGGAGTTACAAAGAGTCATCGGTTGCCCATTTTGGCAATTTCCTCTCCATTTTTCACTTCACAAACACTATTTATCCAGGTAAAAAGAGTGAGGGAAAAGTGAGTCAAAGAACCCCACATTCCCCGTATCCGACCTTGCGAGAGCCGAGCGAACCACCCCGAAAACCGTTCCGAAATGTTGCGTCGAGCAATGGGCTATTGGCCCGACCCATGGCAGCCTCAAGGGCTCGATCCTCTCCACTGATCTGCCGTCGGCTCAGACCGCCGATGCCATGTTCGTGGAGGCGTGGACAAAGTGATGCCCAACATGGATCCTCCCAAAACCCGTCTTTCATGCAGCCTCGACCCGCTACCGCTTCCTGCATTCCCTCCAAGCTCACCGTCAATTTCGTTCTCCCTTATGCTCTGAGTTGGCCACCAAAAAGGTAACATTTGGATTTCTTTTTTCTTTTCTCGTTTTTGATTTCTGTTTAAGTAAGTTCAGTTTGTATTTTGTAATGCTGATAACCTGAATAGGTCTCAAGTTGTTCCACGGTACTTGTTGTTTCTTGCGTTTCCATGCCTATTCAGGTACTCCTTTTAGAGCTATGAGTTAAAGCCATATTCCATGCTTATTTGGTTGTGATTTCTTTCCCAATGGTCGTTATAATTACGGTGACATTTGGAAGGTCATTACAGAGTGAAGGGTTGCATTTGAATGAGGAAGCCTATCTGTTCGCATATTAGCTCCTTAATATTCCTGATTATGTTAAGAATCTTTTGTTTTTAGTTTAATAAAGATTTTCAAAACTATTGAACGGAACCCCTCATAAGTATCATACAACTATTATTTTCAACTTTTTGATTATAGATTGAATTTGTAAAGTGCAGGTGCGCAACTCAAAATGATTGTGCCCTAACTATCAAACCAATTGTGAATCTATCACTTATTTATGTTCCATAAAAAGGGTGACAATGTTGATATTTAATCAAGTTTGCTAATCTTGTTGTGACTAAAGTTACTGTGTTTCAACATTCTTCTTCCATTTCCGCCTATATTTTTGTCAAAGGTTCCAACATAAAGGCCATTGAGGAATCTCCTCGATTTTCATCTAAATTTGACCTTAACAGCATTCTTTCTCTGTTTCCCCGCACCCAACCATTCAGTGAAGAATTAAGTTAGGTGACTTGTTTTTCAGACTCTTTAGCTAAGTTCGAGCATGGTCAACATAATGAAGTAAAGCTATTGTTAAGGACGGAGCTACTTGGAGGGTGGGAGGGGCCTTACCTTTTAGTTTAATTACTTTTAGGTCCTTTGTAGTTTTGAAGCTAAATAAATTAAACCTTGACCCCATTTTTTCAGTTTAAATATCTTAGGTCCCTGTAAATCCCAAAATAAGACAAATTATTAAGACTTAGGGGCTGTTTGTTTGCCTCTTAACGGAATCATTCAGCGCTGAATGCTGAACCGTTCAACATTCAGCGCGTTTGTTTCGCACATTCAACACAGAAGTATATTCTGAATGATTTAGGGTCATTATCAAACAGCATGTCACATTCAGAGCTAATTCATACAGAACATCTGAATCATTCAACACTTAATCATTCTGAAGTAAACAAACAACCCCTTAGTCTCTAATTTTTTTTGTTGAAGTCTTAGGTCCTCGTCAGTTTCAAATTTAGGAAATTAGACCCTGAACCCTAATTTTTGAATTTTAAATTAGTTGCTTAACAATTAAACCTTGACACCCCATTTTATTAGTATTTATAAACCCCCCCCCAAAAAAAAAGAAAAAAAGAAAAAGGATTCGTCCTGGTTTTGCCCCCGGATAAAATATTGTATTATCCCTGCCCTAGAGACCCTTTTGATGGAAAACAATGAGAGAGATGTACGAGTTGTCCAACGGACGTCGAGCCTGTGTAACTTGAAACGGGAATGCAACTTTTCACGGTGTTGCTGTGATTATGGTCCAATAAAGGAATTGGATAAAGAGAAAATAATGATATCTTAAATCATAGACTATATGTTGTGATTTTTATGGATCACTTGAATCATGAGCTCTCTGTTTCCAGCTTGACTTGGTTATAGTACCAGCCACAACCGGGCAGATGGGTGTTCTTCCAGGACATGTAGCAACAATTGCGGAACTGGCCTGGTGTGCTGTCAGTGCATGAAGGAAACGAAAACTACAAAGTATTTTGTCAGCAGCGGCTTTGTTTTCATCCATGCCAACTCATTCGCGGATAATTGCTGTCGAGGCTGCCCCACTCGATTGAATCGATGCTAATCTTGTTCAGAAAGCTTGCGGAGTTCACACAGAAGCTGAGCTCAGCCACAACTGATTTTGAGAAAGCTGAAGCACAAATCGGGATTGATGTTCATAGTGCACTCAACTCGGCTCTCACAGGCTAAAAGTGCCAGTTGCCATTATGTTCATTGGTTAGTGCTCTTCCTTTAGATCTATCTCAATGGATGCTGATGCTATTCTGAATATATTGTTCTATTTATTTCTATGTTCAAAGCTGAATCAATATCTAAAGAGATTCTACTTGGTTGATAAAGAGGAAACTAGATAACTTTATTTGATATATATCAAAATACACTAGGACAAGTCGACCATGGTTGAAGATATCGGGTTGAAGATTCGAATCTCGATAACACATGGTAGCATAAAAGCAGCAAGGGGAATTAGATATCAGCACTATATATATATATATATAGGTGGAGTATTGACATGCTGCTTATTGTAGTCCATAGATCACACGTAAGTAACATAAAATATGTAAACTTGGAACTTGAAAATGTACTTGCCTGTCAAACTTCTATATTTCATGATTTAAAAGAATCATCGTCACTCCAACAACCAAAGCAGAAAGGTATTTTTATTTATATATATGATTAAACAAATCCCTCTGCTTGCTTTGCATCTACTCAGATTTCTTATTTCTTTTACATTTTTTTCTTTATAAAAATTAAAAAGACTACTTGGTGAGAAAATTACTAATTTTTTAGATTTAGTATAAAGCCACCTTGTAGCAAATGAAAAAAAATCATTATCTTTTACCATGTTAGGTCTAAACTCAGATTAGGACATTTTTAAGTTAAATGGCGCTAATTTGGTGAAGAGACTTATATATGGAAAAGATTATACATATATATATAATTGGTATTCGATTTAGAGTTTGAAAAGTGATTTTTAAAAGTGGTATAGAAAAGAATTTTAAAAATATTGTTAAAAAGTATAATTTAAAATTTAATTGTTTGAGATTGTTGTTAAAAATTGAGTTTGAAAAAAATAAAATATCTATTTATAGACTATCTATGAAAATATAAAGTGAGTTTAAAATTTAATTGTTTGGGAAATTATTATTATATATGAAATATAACAATTAAATTATAATAAAATATATTTTATAATAACTCATTATTAATATTTTTTATATATAAACTTTGAATTTTATTACTTTTAAGTTATTAAAATAAATTATTAAGTGATAAATTATTTTTAAGGAAGTTAGAAATCTAATTTTTGTGGTTAATTTGAAATTATGTTTTCATCGTAAAATTCTTCGTTTTTTTAGTTATTTATCATTGATTTTGCCGTCAAAATGATTTTATCTAAAAATGCTTTTAGAAGTCACAACAAACGGGGTCTTATACATCAACTTTGTTCTAAGAAATTCAAAGATTTATTAAATTAGTACGAGAGATGACTATCCAGCTCAGTTGGTAGAGCATAAGGTTCTTAACTTTGAGGTCGTGGGATCGAGTCCCACGGAGGGTATTTCATAATTCGGAGGTCTTCTACGGAAGTTGCTCTCAACCTAGTGTTGGGGGCAGCCTACTAGCTTACCTCCCCCTTACCCCATTACATATGAGAACAAGGGACAACCATATAAATTAATTTAGTACGAATCAAGTGGCCTTTGTGGTAAATGAATTGTTATTATTCTTTGAGAATCAAGGTTCGAGCATCATAAATACCAAGAACGTGAACCTTCAATGTTAAAAGGTTAAGAGTAATTTTAAAAAATATTATCTTATATTTACCTCATATTAATAAAAAAATCATTTAATTTAGATAGAATGTTTAATCTTTTTTAGACCAAATCAATTATTGTTGGTCAACTACTATGTGTGTTTGTATATCAAAATGGTTTTTCTTTTATAGTTATCCACAACATTAAAGTTGATACGATAGAAAAATGACACCTATTGAGATTAATTCAGTGGACATCCGCCCACAGAAAAAATTTGGATTGATTTGAATTGATTTCATGTTAAATTGATTTTAAAATTTACATTTATAAGGATATTTGTCCTTTATAAATAATAAGATTTGAATTTTATTAAAATTATTGAGTGATTTCAATAGTTATTGGAATATTATCTAGATTATTAAAAATTTGAATTTTATTAAAAAAACTGTTTATATTTATAGTTATTATTTAATATGTGTTTTAAAAAATTATTATTATTGAATATTGTAATGATAACTTAGCACGGCCGAGTTCCAACAATAGGGTGATAAGCACGTGCTAGCGGTCCAGACCTCAATAATTGATTCACCCTGCAGCGGACGAATTCGACCCACACCCATCCAACTCAGTGATTTGAACAAATTCGTGTCCCCTCCAAAAACTCGGTATCGTTTTCCCGTATAGATGCCACGTGGGATAATAATTCCATGGTGCTGCGCTGGCGAACCCATCGGGCCGCACGTACTCGGGGACAAAATGAAAAAGGTAAATACGTTCGGAATTTGGATGGAGCTGCCCGTTCTACCCGTATTTTACGGGCAGCTTCGGTGGACAAGAACCCTATGGCAAAATAAAGCCAGCGGGGTGATGAGTCGGGTGGGCCCCGGTTCTTCGATGGTTTTCTGTTGGGTTGTGTTCCACTGAGTGGGTCCTACGTCTACTCAGCTCCAAGTGTTTTTTGTTTTATCGGTCTCAATCTCAGTTGGGAAAA